CACGAGGATGCAAAGAAAATGGACAGTAAGGGGCCTTCTTTGTCAAAAATGGTGCATCTAGTTGGTTAACAAACTGCAGCTCAAAGAAAAAAAATCAATTACTTGGTAAAAATGTCCCGATAATTCCTGGCAAGAAGCTATGTTGCAACAAAGATTAATCTTAAATTACCAATCACCTCCAAGCATGTTCTTACGTCCAGCCAAAGCCATGACACCTTCATCAGGAAATAATATATTTCAAACATGAGTACATGACTCACGTAGCTAGTTCCATATACATACCCTGGGTGTATACACTAAAGCAATTTCAGGCGACAGTGTGATGCTATCCATTAGTGAAGCCCCATGAATCGTCCATTTATTTATTCACTCAAGGCATTTATATCTTCCCCCATTCTCCTATCATCTATATTCTCACCTGCAAAGACATCAGACAATCAATAATGTCGAAGAGCCATCGTTATTTTTAACTACTTAAGGGCAGCCAGCCATAGGAACGTAGCAGGTACTGAACCAAATAATAACAACGAGATATAAAGGATTTTGAATTTTAAACCACAGTCTATGAAGAGCATCTATATAGCAAACAAATATGAACTTTCACAACAATAAGGAACGACAAGTAATTACTTTGCTCCCTTAATAGTTGATACTGGTATGCACCCATATGATCTTTCTGAAATTAGTACCTTCAATGGACCAATATTAGTATTATCAGAGGGCCAATATCTACTCCAACATGAAAAACAAATCGTGGTGTAAAAAGAGATATACAGCTAGTCCAACTTATTCAAGAGATTAACAAAGAAAGAAAATCTCCGCAATTAGAGTATATAGCTTCCGTCTGAAGATATGGACATGCTTTGGTATTTGTTAAATAAGTAAGCAATATCAAACTTGAGGTTTCTTCATGGAGCTGAAATCACTCACAAACTCAGTTAAGGAGGGAGATATCAAAACAGAAATGCTAATTACTCTGTCATATGGAAATAGAAATACATCAGAGAGCAGTCACTGGAAAATCAGACGGGAAAATCAGGGAGCACACATAGTCTAACAGTTGGTATCAAAGCTACAACTTATCATAGTTGGAATTCCTTTTTCATATAAACCTTGCAGATCACAAACTTATGACCTGAGCATGTAAAAGGATATATTTCAACTGAAAGGGAGACAACAACAGGGGGCTTTTTTTAACCTTGGTGCTGCATGGTGGTCTCCCAGGAGGACGCAAATGAAGGGCTCGGCGGTGTCACATGGACGCTGTGAACCGGTAGAAGAACAGTAGCCTCATGTGCATCCCAGTTGCCGCCACGCCGCCACGTGCTTGTACCTGTCAATGCCATGTGTCATTGCAGATTAGACAAAGGGCCCATGATCGACATAGTGGAGAAGAAGATACCTGGGTCGCCGACGCTGCGGTCCTCGACCAAATCCCTCTGCCCTGCCGTGCGAAAGAGACAAGAGATGGAGAGTACGTCATGCTGGGAGCTTGAAGAACCATCCGATCGTCACACAACGTCACTTTTTTGACCATCTGATCGTCACGCATCAGATTCTGAACATTTTTTTTATCAAACCATAATGAGCAGCATTCTGAATTAATCCACAGAACAGATAGAAGCACAATAGAGAGAGGTGTTGTTGCAGACCATACCTTGGACTTTCTGGTTGTATGCCTTCTTGTCGCGCGTCATCAGCGAAGCCGCCTCCCCGTTCAAGGGGTCCGAGAGGTTGGGGTACAAGAACCTGAGGCAAAAACACCTTAAAGATGTTCAGAAGGTCTACAGCAGCATAACAACAAAATTTTGATGCTCTAGTAAGCACAACCATGAAAATCCTCTGAGTTCTTTCAGCACAACCGTTTGTAATATACAATCTAGACATAGGTTTGATGTTATTTGAAAATAAAAAATATGGTTAGAAAATACAAATGGGAGTAGTACTAATTCTTGAGACCAAAGATGTCTTTTCTATTAACATTTATTTTAATAGATAAGAGATCAAATATTTTAAGGGAATACTACTCCAAGAAAAGATCGTGTAACTCCAGAGACGAACTGCCTACAACATCAACTAACAAGTATTCCAGAATTGATCCATGGTTAACTTGAACATATCAGATTAACTTTGACTTGGTGGATCGATATGCAGAGATGTAGAAGGTCCTGCATTGGAAAAGCCATATGGGGCTACGGCATACGTCGCCCTGAACCTTGACTTAACAGTGCAGCGTGTTCTACACATGATGGACACGATGGTTCAGTAGAAAGTCCAAACCTTGAGGAGCTGCAGGTCCATGGCGTCCCAGATCCATGAAGAAGCCCTTGACGGCAGTGACCGTGGTGGATGGGGATATCCCACGGTGTGCTCCATCTGCATCTGCTGCAGCAGAGGATATGAAGGTACTGCAGGAAATATATAGATTATCGCCCTCAATCATGTGTAATAAATTTGTACATTCTCTCTGTATTAGTTTGTTATTTCTAGCATCAATTCAAAAAATTAGGTGGCAGCAGCGCCTCAACAAGAATCAATATAAGTGACAGAATGACATACACAGCAGCATGCCAATCATGGCTCACAAGATTCACAGATAGGCATACGAAGAAGGAAAAAGAAAAGCATGTGTACGAAACCTGCATCAGTGCATCATTCTGAACAGACACAAAGTAGAAGAACGCCGAGGCAGAGTCAGAATCCTGTCAGGAAAGAGGCAGGTACAAAATCAAGAAGGCATGCGCGCATACCGGCACCTCCAATAAGGAATCCGTGCAGCCACCACTCCATCCGCTCTAGCAACCAGCTCGGGTCAACACGGCCACGCAACTGCCGCTTCATCCCCTCTCGCAACATCCTTCTCTCGGCTGGACCACCCTCCTTGGCTCCTTGCATTGTTGGACTGTGACCCCGACCTGAGCTAGCTGCTACCCGATGGTCTCCTCGGCCTCGAAGCAGCAGTGGTCGTGGACTTGGGGAAAAGGAGGGATGGCCGCTGGGGAGCTGGAGTCTCGAGGGAGAGGGAGGCGCACCTGTGGTGGTCGTCGGCCCCTCGCTGCTCCGCCGCGCGCGCGGGCACCTGCACCTCCGCGTGCGCGCCCCCGCGGCGCTGCGTCACCGCCTGCTCCGCCCGGTGCCGCGCTGCTCCCGCGGTCCCGCCTCGCTGTGCCGCCTGGGCGCCCCCGCTCCGGCTGCGGGCTCCCCAGCCTCGCGCCGGCCTCCGCGCGGCTCTCGTGCCTCGACCGGCTCCCACCCCACGCAGGCCGGCTTCTGCCGCTTCCTGGCCGCCGGCTCCCGCCGCCCGGCTTGCCGGTTTCCCCGCAGCCCGTCCTGCCGGCTTCGCCCGCGCCGGCTTCCCCCGCAAACCCGGCCAGCTCCGCTCCTCCGCAACTGCAGGCGGCGGCTCCTCTCGTTCCCCGGTGGCGGCGGCGGCTCCTCTCGGGGCTGGGGCGTCGTTTGGGAGATGAACCAGATCGAGATCTGACGAGCCTGGGAGGATGAAGATAAAAACCAGAAGAAAGTGGTAAGAGGATGACGAAAATAAAACGGAGGTGGGAGAATGACAGGAAAAACCAGCGAAAAAAACCGCGTAGACTATTCATCAAGTCGTCGTAGAGATTTTTTTAATGAGACTCACTAATGGTAGCTTGCATTGGGAAGAAAAAATAAATGTTATCCATTAAAAGTAGAGATTTTTTTAATGAGACCCACTAATGATAGCTTGCATTGGAAAGAAAAAATAAATGTAGGTGCCTCAAATTACTTTTTGTCATGGGGCAAATTACTTTTTGTCATGGAGCATATGTATTCATATGCCACCATTGTACATGCCCTTAGTCTGCGTTTATGTTGAGCTTGCTGGAGGGTGTTTTGCGTTATTTGGTTGTCCAAAAATATGTCCGCACCATTGGCTTAGCTTTTATGTTTTGCTTTTGCTGAACTGCTCCACTAAGTGAGCTGTTTGTAAGACTTTCTCCGTCGTTTCATTCTGGCAATGGAACCGGGGAGGTAGCTCCCTGTTCTTATAAGAAAACAATGAGAGTCACGGTGCTAGTGCTACGAAAACTTGAATGCAGAATGATTATTTTATTCCTTGGTTATGTACACAAGCTGAAATAAACCGGTACAAAGTTCCTTTTCAGTTTCAGCTGAACAGAACACCGCCACAATCCATCCTTTTACGCATTTCAACAGAACAGCAGCCTTAGGCAGCCGCACGAGGTAGGAAAAATACAGTGGATGGATGGACTGACCATCAGATGCAACACCTGCCGCTTTGCATTAGGTTGTTGCCACTTAAGTCTACATAGAAGTACCAGGAGGAGAAGAACGGTGGAGGGCACAGAGGCAAAGCACCAGTCTGAACCGTGTGAAGATTCAACGGAGAATAACGACACTGCTTTCGTCTTCTCGCACGCGCAACTCTCAACGGATAGACCTGCAAAAGCAAATGAGGTTTCTTAGCCAGGAGTAGTTCGATTTCGCCAATAGAACTGAACTATACAGCGAGCCAACTACTCTATCTGAAGGGAAAACTAGTCAAAAGGCAAGACAATGCGTAGCAGTACACTGCGTTACAGTCGTTGAATACGGCACTCAGGGGGTCTCAGCATATCGCTGTTGACTATTGAGTTCTGACACGTACACGCATGATCTCATCCATCAAGAGAGCACAAGACTAATCGAGTTGTCGATTTCGTCTCGAATTAAACGAAGCAACATGCTTACATATGGAAACTAAAGTAGATAGGAGATTTTTCCCAGAAGAAGTACTCAGTGTTCTTCAGTCATGTTGCAGCATCTTAAATGAATTTGGGGAGTGAAATGACATTTGCAATATGTTTCGATCATCTACGGGCTGCAAATTATTTTGTGATTGAAATACACGCATGGCTCACGAGCATAACCAATCAGTAGTGTCTAGAACCTTGAAACGTTACAGAAATCAGGCGTCAGAACGTACCTCCTACGTGTATCTATGATGCAGAGCACCGCATCGATCAATCTTTGAAGATGACGGTGTCGGCGATGGCCATGAGCGGGCCAAGGCAGTCGGGCGCGAACTTGCGCGCGAACATGTGCTCATAGGTGGAGCTGTTGGACTGGCGTAGCTCGGCGATGAGCCGCGGCGACACCTCTGGCGCGGAATACGTGTGCGGGTGGCCCTCGAAGCTGTCGGTCCAGTTGACGCGCGTGAGCGTGTACCGGGTGCAGCCGGCGGGGTCGGCCATGTCGAGAAGCGTCGGGAAATAGTGCTCCTCCGGGTAGCACGAGCCCTGCGACTCCGGCAGGCACGGCTCCCTAAACTTTCGCCAGAGACGGCGCTCGCGGACGACTAGCACGGCGTGGCGGCGGGCCAGCGTGAAGAACTGGGAGCCGATGCGGAACCGGTCGAAGGGCACCTCCGGGAGCATGGCGTCGTCACCGCGCGCCACGTAGCGCGCGGGCATCTGGGGCTCGCCGGTGAGCACCTCGATATAGCTCGGGAGGCGGTGGTGGTGCGCGGCCTTGGGCGGGAAGAGCGCCTCGTAGAGCCGCGGGAAGGAGTGGAGCGGGACGCAGTGCTGCGAGAGCAGCGCGAAGTAGGCGTTGGCCGGGTCGTCGAGTAGCGCGGCGACAAGCAGCCGCCGCGCCGCAGCGATGAGGCTCGGGTCCCCGCGCCGCGTCGGCTTGGCCGCGACGAAGCGGCCCCGGAAGGAAGGCGTAGGGGGGAGCCGCAGCCGCACCGCCGGGTCTGCGTGCACGTAGACGTTGAACTGGTCAGCGTGCCCCGCGAAGAAGCGCTCCCAAAGCGGCGCGAAGGTGAGGTCGGAGTTGGTCAGGAACATGAACGCCACCTTGGACGCCACCGCCGCGCCCTCGCCGGCGTCGAGCGTCACGCGCCGGTATAGCGCGAGGTCCTCCGGTCCCTCCTCAACTCCCGCCCCTCCGCCGCTGATCCCCGCAGCACCACCAGCGGCGGCCGGCGGCGCCTCCTCGTCCCCAACCACCACGGCCAGCGGCAGCGGCGGCGACGCCGTGCGAGGGGCCAGGACGAGCAGCGCCGTGAGCGAGGCGAAGAGCAGGAGGGACAGCACCATCGGCGACGACGCCGTCATGGCGATTAATTCCGGCCACTAATCCCGCACGAAATCGAGGGGAAATCACAATCGACGGACCGAATCGGGGGTCAGAACCTCATCCCGGCGATCAGAATCGAGGGTTTCTATAGGGAATGCTACGCTAGGAAGGAAGGAAGGAAGGCAAGCGAGGGAGGGAAGTGGAATGGAGTGGCGCTAGTCCCGTCTCGCGTCCGCCTCTCCTATCGCTTTCTCCTTCTCTTTGTCTTTGTTTCACTCTCAGCTCGGCGGACACCGACGTGGCAGCAATATCAAGTTTTTTTTAGGGAGGCAAGGCAGGAATGAATATCAAGTGCGCCACGGGATTTTCTTTGCTTCGGTCCGTGACATGCAGGCCCGTGGTTTGGTGGGGTCTCTGTGGCAGTGGGTGTGGAGTACTATTTTTCTTTTGGAGGGCAAGGCAGGGCGAGGAAGGCGGATGGATGGCTGTCGGGCCGAGTTTGAGGGTAAGGATGAATACGGGCCGTCGGATGCGATTTGCCAAGATATTGTGTCCTAGTGCGGTTTCTTTGTTAATCGGGCGGTGTGTTAGTGGGGAATCGGATCCGAACCAGTTGCCTAAGGATGCGTTTGGTTGAATGTGTCGTATGAATGGGTTGGGACCATTCAATTTTTTTGGGATTGAACCATTCAATTCATGTGTTTGGCTGAATATAAGTGGTGAGCTAATTATTTAGGACGGGACCACCAGTCATGCTCACATAGTCATGCATGCAAAGGGCGGCCATTTGATTCGACCGATTTGGTTGGGTGGAACGGTTCAGCATCTTCATGGCATATTCTCTTTTTTTGGCTCGAACCATTCATGTGCTTTATAACCAAACATGTCTATTTTCTGAACGATCCCAACCCATTCATTACCGCCCTTGCAACCAAACGCACCCTAATTTGGGCCCCGTCAGTTTCGCTTTTCTTCAGGCAAGTACAGTATTGATATACCACTTTCTCACGGAGAATTTTGCCAGCAACCGAGGAATTCAATGTTGAGATCAGCAGGGTAGGTAAGCTCACTGCGAACTGGCTCGCCGAATGCACGGCAGGGCAGAGGAGACGCGCATGTGTCTATCGGTATGGTATCCGTAGCCAGCAGCGGCAGCGCATCGATCGGCATCCTCTGCACGCCCGCGTGTCCCATGCATGCCTTGCCTTGGCATCAAGCTGGAGTCTGCTCGAAACTCGACCATATCACACGTGTGGAGCATGCAGAGACCAAGGTTCGTGTCCGCCTGCCAACCATGCTGTGCTAAAAAACCATATATGCATCATCAGATGCTGTGTCACTCTTCTCCACCACCCAGTGCACAAGTGTATCAGTCCGTATCCGTCCCATGACGATGAAGAGGGCGCATTCATTTTTATGGTCACCCATAGTTCAATGCTTTGACCTACATGGTTTGAGTCGCTTGCTGACCTTTTTTTAGCTGCTTGCTGACCTTTTAAAATGAAGACTCCACATGCTCTGGGTAGCCGGTAACGTGTTTTTTCAATCAGAATGACTAATTCACATCTAGATGTTTTTTAAAAATGTCACATCTAAGTAGTTCATCACATAATAAGGGGCTTCAAGATTTGTACAAAATATATTTTTAATTGCTTTTTGCTGATGCTGTGTGATGTCATGCTTAGATGTGACATAGTTATGTCATATCTAGATGAGTCCTAGCTACACCTTTTTTAATCATCTCCCGCGTGCGCTGGAAATAAGTCGCGCGTTGGAAAAAAAATCATGTTATTGTGCGCGGGCTGAAACGAGCACTCAGACGCGCAATAATTGTGTGCGGGGTAAAATTGGTTCAGTGCGCGGAGGAAAACGGCATCGCACGCGGTGTATTTGCTACATCCGCTCCGGCACGCTGGATAGCGACGATTCGTACGCGACTTCACCAACCGCCAGATCTGAGACATCCAGGCGCCGCCGCACGCACCTTCCCCATTCGCTCCGGTGACCCGTCGACGCTCCCCGCCTATCCCCGCGCGCCGCTGCTGCTTCCTCCACCTCCTCTCCTTGCCGCCGCCCCTCGAGCGCACCCTTCCTCCAACGAACAGCGCTCGGCGGCCGTTTGCACGTCAGTGCCCATAAGGTGTTTGACAAAATGCTTGCAAGGTATGTATTGCTTCAACTTTATATTTTGTAGATGAATTTGGTGCATGTTGTTTGTAGTCTTAAAACTAGTTTAAATTCAATATTGCAGATGAGCTTGTCCTATGATTCTTCCGATGAAGAATTTGATATTCAAGAGGACGAAGACCTCGCAATGATCCTAGCTATGCATGTCAATAAAAAGATGAAGCACGATGGTTCGGTTATGGGTCGTCAGAAATTATGGAGGGATAAGATCGATGCCCACAACAGATTGATGAGGTACTATTTTGTGGAGAATCGCATATACCCCGAGTCCTACTTTCGGTGCCGTTTTAGGAGGGGCATCGCGTTGTCCAAACGCATTGTGGAGAAACTGGCGAGCCATGATCGGTTTTTTCAGTAAAGAAGGAATGCCGTTGGAGAACTCGGGCATAGCACCTTTCAAAAGGTGACCGCTGCTTTGTGTATGTTGGCATACGGTATTCCGGTGGATCTCGTTGATGACCGCTTAGCCATGGTCAAGCCATCATGTGTGTCAAGCGCTTCGCAAACGGAATTGTGCAAGTGTTTGGTCCGAAATATTTGAGAGCTCCCAATGCTGAAGACACCGTAAGGCTTTTGGAGATGAATAAAGCTCGTGGGTTCCAAGGTATGCTTGTCTCAATAGATTACATGCATTGGAGTTGGAAGAACTGTCCTAAGGCATGGCATGGACAATTCCACGACCAGAAAAAGGGTTACACTATAATTCTTGAAGTGGTGGCCGATCACGAGACTTGGATTTGGCATATTTTTTTGGAATTCCTCGATCTTTGAATGACATCAAGGTTCTTAATCGGTCACCACTCATGAATAAGATTGCAAATGATAAAACTACACCGGTGGAGTTTGTAGCAAATGGCCATACATACAACTATGGCTACTATCTTACGGATGACATCTACCCAAGGTGGCAAATATTGCCGATCTAGTATCGAACATACGGTACCTCCGCTTCAGTACACGTTCAGCTCGATGACGTCCTCGCCTTCTTGATCCAGCAAGATGGGTGAAATAGTAGATGAGTTCCGACAGCACGACGACATGGTGATGGTGATGCTATCTTCGCAGGGCATCACCTAAGCACTCTGAAAATATGACCAAGGAACGAAACTGTGGAGAGTGGCGCCGCACACGGCTAAGAGATTGTCGTGGCCTTGTGTGGTGCCCTCTCCCTCATATATATATACTAGACCATGAAAGTGCGCGTTGCCGCACCCGTCCATCTTCAGGAAGGTTGACATGTATTATTTGAGAAAGCGGGATGATATCTAACTGTAAAGATAATTACCCCCACAAATATGTTAACATCGCATTCCATGATGCACTGAATATTATAAAATGGATCGTATCAACTAATATGAAAGCACGTAATATGATATTATAAGACAACCATTCTCAATGAAGACGGTATTATGCTCCAATTAATGCATTCACAAAAAATAACTTTTTAGATTATTACTTTGATCAACACATACGAGGATGATTTCTGAGTACACACAACTCTTTACAACCATTAAGGATTATACAATGTCAAGACGTTATAAACTCTCACAAACTCTATTAAGGTAGTAGACATTCATATAACAGCACACCAATCTCAGTATTATAGTTGAGCACACATAAGCTGCCATTTGTGGCTTGCAAAATGGATTGTGATGCCAACTGGATGTCCCTGGTTATGATTCTGTCACACTTCCTTCATGAGGGTGTAGTAGTTTATCACATTGTCATCATCGACTGGAGTCGAGTTAGTTGTTAACTGCGTTTGGATTTCTGATGATCCCGCAGCCTTCCTCCGGGCTGAAGCTATTTTCGGTGAAGTGAGGTCTTAGGTTTCAACTTTCAAATTGCTGGGCCTACATAGACAGAATCACGAAAGCATCATGCCAGCGACTGAAAGTTGGAGACTGAAGACGACAATGTTGCTCATGTAAGGAAGATTATAGGCAGATGTTTCCAGTTCTTACCTAGTTCTGGAGGTCCTCCACTTTGAACGTCAATCAGAGTCTGGCATGTGGTTGACCCCAAGACGATTTCTTCAGAGTACAACACATCCTTCACCTCACTGGTGTGTGCAGCAAAATACCCACATTGTAGTGATTTTTGATTAATTTCTTTGTACTGCATCTATATCCAGCAATTCTGAATGTACAATGTGTAGTGAATTGGAGAGGGGCATGTTGCATACCTAACCAGTAGGAGATATTTTGTGAAGGATCCTACCCTTTTGGCGTCAAGCCTAGTTGTTAATGATTTTCAAAGCTTTTTCTGTAATTTCTTTAACCTGCATAAACAAGGTCAATATTTTTTAACAGAACATATTAACAACCAAAACAATAAAGAGCTAGTAAAGCTACTAAAGACGAAGCAAGTAAATTGAAGGAACAATAATAATCTTTGAGAGCTTTAACTGCCGGTTGCTGCTCAGCCTTCTCAAGTTCATTATTCCCTGCAATGCTGAACACTGGACAACACAAAATATTGGTGTTGAGCGAGATATTACCAGTTCACAATATTATAAGAGAGCTAAGAAGCTGGCAATCGATCTTAAAAGGAGAAGAAACCTCTGTATGTGTGATCTTTTTTTGCTGGCCCTTGGCCTCGACCTTTTCTTTTCTCTGATCTCCTTTCTGATCCCCATGTAAATAATTTTGCTTACTAATCTAATCGAGTGGCAGAGAGAGCGCCTGCCTTAACCCTTAAGCCTAAAAAAAAGATGGGCAAGGTTCATGCTCTTTCAGCAACACTAATGGATGAGAAGCTATTGCTCTTTGTGAACTGCCAATGAGGCCCTGAGCTATAGTGGCCATCTAAGACGGTTGCACAATCTGTAGTGCTGCAGGGCCTGTGTCAC